ATCATGCTTGAGTTGTGTGAAGCGGATCGAAATATAATTTGGAAAATCGTGTTATTTTCGGGAAGTTTCGATGTCATGGTGTCAACGCTTTCCTACCTTGTGTTATTATGTGAGTAGTAGGGGAATTTACCGGCGACTGACTAACTATGCCGATCCCACTTTAGGTCATTTTTTATTATCCAGGAAACGTTCCGAGCGCCTGTGTACTACCCAACTGCAAATCAGTAACACATTTGACGAAAGTTAGTATGAAGCATCACATTGATCGCTCTCCGGGTTTCACCTGTCACTCATGAGGAGACTGTCGACAGTATCGGTACACGATCACTGACAACACTGTGTATGGGTCGTCACACAGAATATTATACAGAATCATAATACAACTTCACGTGCGACACCGACAGTGTGTGGAGAGTAGTACTGTTGTTGGACATACTTCTAAGTATTCTCGTAAAAGATAAACTGTAAACTAACGCAACACGGTTTACCTACCCAACCACACTAGAAGTAGTCAGCTGTGTCGAGAACTTTGTCTTCAAAACACAAGTTCAGGTAACAAAGATACCCGGGAAATTCATAAACAAAATGGCGACGCCAAACCGACGTCGTAACCTATGACCCAATTCTCCCATGATGCATTGCGTTATACCAGTTTGTGGGGGGGGGGCAACATTTTGCTAAAGATAATGGATATGGATGGATCACAGTCCTGTGGATGGATTAAATGTGTATAATCATTTATATAATTCCGTGAGACAGTAAGCATGTAAGAATACCATCGTCCCGGGACCATCGCATCACACGGCGACACACACTAGATTGGTGATACAGTCCATGGAGACAATTTCTTTTAACATACGTTTAACCTGCATTTATTTTCATTATGCGACAGTGTTGTGTGCCCTCACATTGTGTGAACTACTATGACCTTAATTGTATTTGTATATTTTGCTTTTCCGTATTTATGTGTAGACACAAAATACAACTTAGTGTTGGAATACTAGTATTCTGGCGTTACTACGCCCGCAGTGTCCACAATGTTGATCTTTCGTTCCGGCTATCAATCCTTTTTGGCATACTAGTATATATCGTATCCTGGGTGATTGTGACTTTGTTTACATGAAATTCGTATACGCACTGAATGACGACCGCCACGTATGAACAAAAGAAAGATTCAAAATGCTTGTGTCGAGTTATTTGTTCCGGATACTATTATTTGCTTAATTGTTTTTTCTTTTCGTTGTTATTATTGTTGTTTAATATGATAAATATTAAATAATAATTATAATTGTTAAAATTAGAAAGAATTCTAAGGTTTGACACCATTCATATGTCAGCCTGGGCGACTTAACAAACAGAGATGGTTGAACTGATGGTTGAGTTTCAGTGGCGGCGTCACTGGGGGGGGGGGGGGTCAATTTCCTCATGAGGGCGTGCGATTTACAATGACGCAGTGTCGCAATGCATTCTCTGGAAGGTAAGTGTGATTTTTAAAAATTTGGGGGCATGTTTTTATATGTATCCTTCTTGTATGTTTTTAATAATATAGCAATGTATACCTCCCATAATAATATGACAACTGTCATTTTTCTAAATTAATTCTATTCATACTCTAAAAAACAAGCCATAGCGAGTGTGTATGCATATTGCAGCAATCACGGCTTACTTATCGATGGGGACTCAGAAAATCACCGCTTATTTATTCTAAAAAAAAAATGGTGACATTTGAAGCTTAATTATTCGTTATTCGCCCACGTGTTAACAAACCCTCTAATCGCCGCGGTCTCGAACACAACATTAGTATCATTGACGAACTGTACACTAGGGCACAACACTCCTCAGTTGTGGTGTGGATAGCAAGACACAAAACAGGGCTTTGGCCGAAAAAAGGTTACTATACTTCTCAACACTCGCGTCAGTTTGAAATTCGCCTCATTCATTTTTGTTGTTGCTTGTTTGCGTATCCGGTGAAGTGCGCCACGCACGATAGCATGAGGGGAGTTTGTTTTCTGTTTCCGAGGTAGTATCGCAGATAGAATAGATTTCAATTGTGAATTAAAAATATTTCATTTGTGAAGTGAATTTTTCATCAGTAATATTATGTTTCAAAAATTATAACCAACTTAGAGGGTCTACTTGTGATGGCGCTCTTTGGAGCGGATTGGATGATAAAAACCAGTAACTGAACATAGGGATAGGTATGTATATCTCGTAAAGTGTTATTAAATGGCATTTCAGTATGCTATATTGCACTAAATTGTGACAAAAAGCAAACATAAAGCAATGGGTTAACCTGTGAACACCTCAAAGTAAGTACGCACATCGTCATTACAGAATCACACTCGACTCATATGCACCATGAGTCGGTCGAAACCAACGTCGCACTGCCTTCGTAAATAAACAGATACATAGACAAGAAGACCTCAGTCATTGATGTTCTGTGTTGTCAAGAGTCACATGCTATAGGACATAATTGTGACTAAGGTGTACCATTATTTAAACGCACGTACTTTCATATTTTATTTGGTTGCTTGAGGCGGGATCTTGGTTGCTAGGTGACAACAATTTAACATTATTTGCGTAATCTGCATTCCATGTAATAGCTGTTTCACAACAAATTTTCTATACGTATTCTATGTGTTTATAATTGCTAACGCCAAACTCATGAATTCACCCAATAATTTGAAACCTTAAATAAAAAAAAACTAAATTATTCGTAAATACATATAATTTAATTTCGTTTCCTCTGACCGAGAAAGGAATTTTTCACCGGCCAAATATAGATAGACTGGTGTCTGAAAGGATTATCATGTTTTATTAGTACTCGCTATTTAAGAAGCTACCGAGGATGGATGGATGGATAGAATCATAGACAGATAGATGAATTAACCTTGAAACCACACGGACAGGCCAAACCATTCTTGCACGGACATAGGTGGAATCACCCCCACCCCAACCCGCCATGTGCCATCGGGATAAAAAAAACATCCGTTTGTGGACACATTTCAAGGCTCGTTTAAAAAAATCAAAATAAACAGTAGTAACAAAACATACAATTTGTTTATATTAGACTAGACAGTCGACAGTCGGTCGTACCCAATATTAATCTGTTATTATTAATAAATATTGTGTATAAACGTAATATGTGTGAATAAATTGCGAACGCCGGGACAGAAAGACTAAAGTCCCTCGCGTGAAATGCTTCGCATTTCCCATCAAACGCCTTTGGCGTTTGAATTTCTACAATACACAATTATATTTGGTCCGAGGACTGTCGACAGTCTAATATTAGACTAACAAGCGACCAGTTAACATTCAACAAGGAAAACACGAAAAGAACTAGCAGATGTGATAACAGTGACAAGATAATTTGACGAAGGTGATAATAACGGGCAACAACAAGAGTGGTAACCTAAGTTAAAAAATAAAAAGTAGAATTTGGTGGTAAACAGTTGTAGCGAGTTATTCTGAAGTAGGTACTCGTATCACTACATCACTGGTGTCATAATTTTTCGTCTATCTATAGCAACACATCATCCTGGTTTTCAAGTTTCCTGTACCTTGTGATGTGATTGGCTGATTAATAAATTAATAAATTATTTAATTGAAAATAAATGAGTAAATGGAATTCCATTAACAGCCTACTTAATGTGTGCAAAGCTATCTCAGTAAATCCCCTTAAGCGATGCATTCCACCATAAGCTGACATCCATGTCTGTCAGGATTAAAGATCAATTGTTTAGAATAATGATTTGACGTGTGAATTTCAATTTTCATTTGCGCAAATACATGACAATCCTGACTCGTTAAGGCATTATTATGTCCCTATTCAATAATGAGTGTTTTATGCAATACAAAAACAACGCATGGTCATCATTAATCATACAGTGTTTTTATGATGTATAGGCCGGTATTTAAATTATTAAAATAATTGTACATCCACCATTTTGATAATTTAGAGAATGTTTGCTATTTCATGCTGTTCCAATATTAGAATTTACTGCGACACCTGACCGATTAAAATCTGATTCTCTGATTATTTCTAATTGTGTAAAAAACCATAACCAATAGTTGAATCCATTTATAGAAACAGTTGGCCAGGATTATGAATTACGTTAATTCCTACTCTATGCATAATACCAGTAATATTTAGTGTGTGATAAATTTAGTTAAACCAAATAAATGCAAATTAGGCTGAGTCTATCTCTGTATTAGCAGAACATAAAATCAATATATTCCATTCCTGTTCACAGTTTGGATCTGTTGTCTACCATTTCTACTTCGTTGATAAGTAAGTAAGTTTACCTTATATTTCACTATGTTACTAGTATCTGAAACAAGATTCAAAATATTACTACTGATAGTTTTACTGATAACTCACTTTAGCTACACTACTTTTCCCGTCATTTGAAAACACGCATATTGCGCGGTGTATTCATTGCTCTTTTATATGGATATATATGTTGTGATTGCAGGTTGATTTTTTTATTTCCAGTTTCTATCACGTTTATGTACTATGCAAAATGAGACCTACATCGCCCGAATCGCGCGTGCTCGGAGTAAACATATTCCCTCATAAGCCCGTGCGGGATTCTACCGAGAAGTTGCATATTTTACCTCGGTACAATGCATTGATCTGATTGGAGGCGCCTCTAAAATCACTCGCCCAATACAACGTTGTGTTGCCGTTCGCAAAGAATAGCATAAACATTTTCTGGTGGTTATCCACAGTTCTCACTTTCCGGGATTGTTTCCGAAACGTGACTTAGTACTAATTAAAAAATACATGGTCGAACAGTCTAATGTAGACTACCACTTGATGATTACAATGCGCATTTGATACAAACACCGTAGTTGGTTCTATGCGTACGATCCTGCGATGCACTGAACCGAGCCCCGCACGGAGTCTCCAAATCAAGCATGGGTCGGTCCGTGCAAAATATTGAAATCGTTATTTCAACTCCTATACACGTCTTATCAATGCACAGTTTTCACCCCGGGACATAACGTAAATACAGTTGCTATGTTTTCATGTATGTGATGGTTGAAAATCTACGTTTATATTAATAATACGAATAATACGCTCATTTCACGGTGGCCGTATTTCATAGCGGCTGTGGTTCTTGGTGTATAGTGAAAATATGGAAAAAAAATACAGACTGAATTTATCTAACTAGTTGGATTTACATTCCTCGAGTAACATATTTTAAAATGTTAGTTTACTCTCTGGCTGGGAACAAAATCTTCCATGCAATAATTTTGTTCGTAATGCAGCTATAACGAGCATTATGTTTGAACGATGAATTGAAGAAAATATTTCTAGTATTGCCAGAGACGGCACACTTAAATATACGTTAGCTACAAAGCATCTGCCAACGCGTAGTGGTGAGACGATGACCGAATAAACGAACCTTGGCTGGCGAATATTCAAGGACTACGACTGCAAACAGCTATGTAAGGTTATAGAAAGATGCAATTGAGCTAAAATATAACCATGATATTCACTTTTTTGCAGAAAACTATTGCGGGTTCAAGATGCAATATACTTTATTGCTGGGTTTCGTATTCCTGCTTCTCGTTGGCACAGTCATCACTCAGGAGGTAC